TAGGTAAATGCAAATGCGTTTACGCGGATTTAAGGGTATGTTCTTATTTTCAAGGCAATCGACCCTTACAGGGATTTTTCCAACTTTCTGTCCCATTTTACTTATATTCTCAATAACAATTCTTCAAAAATCCCAGTTGGACAACCCAAGGGCGACAGCTTTGGACGTGTCAGAGCACCGCCAAGCAAAAGCCGGCCAGCTTCCGTGCTGTCACCGTACGGGCCACCTGAAACGCTCCTTTGCACCCGGCCGGGATTTTCAGAATCGTTCCGGTATGGAGCACTGAGAGATCGCCTGCTTAAGCAGTCTAACCACCACCTTCATCCCTTCCTTTGCTTGAACTGACCTCTGAGGAGCGCAGGTGGGCCGCCGGGGCCTGCTGACCTTCCTACAATGTCAGCAGCCCAGAATGGCTTCAACTGGGGCAGACAGCGGTCCTCTGACCTTCACTGGGGACGCGCCCCACAGCACCGGCACAGGCCCCCCAGAACTAGCGCCCAAGCCCTGACCTTCACTCATGCCACCTTCTCCGGCCGCTCGCGCCCCCAGACCAAGGGAATCCCGCTAAGGCCCCGTCTCTGCACAACACCCGGGTCATCGACTCCCCTGCCCGCCTCGGCACCACGCCGCTCTCAGGGCCATCCCCAGGGCCCCTCCGCAGCCTGCTCGGCCCAGCCCCAGCAGCCACGGGAGCAAGATGGCGGCGCCCGCCACAGCCCCTCACCCTCCCTGCAAAAAGAGCCCCGAAGACAGCGCAGCCCCGCGCGCCGCAGCCCCGCCGAGCCGCCTCCCTTGCAGGTCCCCGGCGCTCACCAGTCCGGCCCGCCGGGGAAGGGCGCGGGCCACGGCCGCGGCTACGCGCACGGACAGCATCTTCGCAGCTTCTCTTCGGGGTGACTCCTCCGCAGCCGCAGCCTTGCACTGACTGGGACAAAATGGCCGAGCGTCGAGGAAGGTCAAGGCGGCCGGCCCACCTGACCCGGAAGGACAACCTCTCTCTTTCCCCACCTCTCCGGACGCGAATCTGCCTGGGTTTGGTCCGATTACTTTATTTTTAAAGTATTATTTTTTTAGTTAAACCTCAACGTGAATGATTAGCCCTTCACCAGCCTCGGCTCCGGAATTCGTTCCGTATAAATTTCAGTCTTTCCAGTCGACCTTGTGGTGGCCCCGGGCGACCACGTGATCAGCGGAACTTATGAAGAGCCGTCCCCTGCGCGAGGTGACCTGGGCGTCACCGCTGGGCTCACTTGACCGTGAGAGATGAACCGTGTCCTCGGCGTTGAAAGATGGTGCGGTAGCCACCGAGAGCGGCCATCCCTCGGGGCGGCCACCTGTACGCCGCAGGTCGCTGACCCCACTCAGAATCGACCTTTGGGGGCACCCTGAATTTCTAACAAACACCCATCCTGTTCCAGGTGATCCGGAACGCGCCCAAGTTGGACCTTTTAGCTTTGATCTAGAAGGATCCTGTCTCTGAATTTGACCAAGTTGCTTAAAAAGTCTAACAAAGACAGGAGTCTCAGAGGAGTGGTTGCCAATCCTATTGAGAAGAATGGTCCAGAATTACGTTTCACTCCAGACCGGGCTAGGGCTTGAATGTTCTGCCGGCAACTAGTTTTACAACACTGGGGGTTCTATTTTTCTGGTGGAGTTCTTTCTATGTCTACTTAATAAATGGGGAGGAATTTTTCTTCCGCAGATTTTTTATAACATTTGAAATTTTTGTGATATGAACAGAGGAAGAGAGAAAGAGAGGGAGGGAGAGGGAGAGACTCTGGGTACTATGTCATCAGGGAAGCTATTTAACACTGCCTACACTTGTAGCTGTTCTGAAAAGCATCTTTCAGCTCCAGCCATCAAATCTTGGCTTTCAACCAAAACCTTCTGGGCTAAAAGGATTGTCTCCTGCAGCTTGCCTTGCAAATGCATGGTCAGCAATCCTTTTCTCTAATATCCAACTTCCTTTTCAAGGAGAGACATGAGTCAATATGGCAATCCTCCAGGGAGGCATAGGCTAACAGAAAAAATTATCTCTGGTTTATAAAAACAACAAAATTACATAGAGATTTTGTAAACCATGTAGTGATGAAAGTGGACAGCGATCACTTTTTTCCCATACCCAAGGGCTGCACCAATTTATCTGCAATTTGGTTACTGAGGTGAGATGCATTTTATTGAAACAAAATGATAAGCCATAAAACATAATACAGAGAGCTAGTCAGAATCCTCTGAAGAAGGGCTGGTGTTGTGATGCAGTCAGTAACGTCGCTACATGTGAGGCATCCCATGGCAGTGTCTGTTCCAGGGTCTGTTGGGCTCCTGTCACCCACATGGGAGACCTGGATGGAGTTCTAGGCTCCTAATTTCAGCGTGGTCCATCCCCAGCAGTTTGCAGCCACTAGAAAATGAACCAGTACATGTAAAATATCTCCCTCCCCCTCTTTTCCCCCCTCTCCCCACCTTTCAAATACATAAATCTTTTTTTAAGATTTATTTATTTTTTACTTGTGAGTCAGAGTTACACATAGAGAGGCAGAGAGAGAGAGGTCTTCCATCCGATGGTTCACTCCCCAACTGGACGCAATGGCTGGAACTGCGCTGATCCGAAGCCAGGAGCCAGGAGCTTCTTCTGGGTCTGCCACGTGGGTGCAGGGGCCCAAGGGCTTGGGCCCTGCTTGTGGCCCTGTTTTCCCAGGCCATAACAGAGAGCTGGATCGGAAGTGGAGCAGCCAGGACTAGAACCGGTGCCCATATGGGATGCCGGTGCTTCAGGCCAGGGCGTTAACCTGCTGGGCCACAGCTCCGGCCCCTACATAAATCTTTTTAAAAGAGTTCTTTGAAGAGAAAGATTTTTTTTTTTTTTATTGACAGGCAGAGTGGACAGAGAGAGAGAGACAGAGAGAAAGGTCTTCCTTTGCCGTTGGTTCACCCTCCAATGGCCGCCGCGGCCGGCGCACCACGCTGATCCGATGGCAGGAGCCAGGTGCTTCTCCTGGTCTCCCATGGGGTGCAGGGCCCAAGCACTTGGGCCATCCTCCACTGCACTTCCTGGCCACAGCAGAGAGCTGGCCTGGAAGAGGAGCAACCGGGACAGAATCCGGCACCCCGACCGGGACTAGAACCCGGTGTGCCGGCGCCGCAAGGCGGAGGATTAGCCTAGTGAGCTGCGGCGCCGGCCTGAAGAGAAAGATTTAATAACTTTAAATATGCATCTACCTTAGGAGAAACACATTCAGCGCTAAGCCTGATCCACAATTTCATATTAAACCTCACAGAAAGTTGAGTACATGAGCCTTTGAGCTCTCTGCTTTTCCTAGTAACACAATGTACTATAAACGGTTGCCAATAGCAGTTTGGAAAGTGAAACACACAACGGAGCCAGACCATGTTGGTCAAGTTCTAGCTCTGCTATCCAACCTTAGTCAAGTCATTTAATCTATGTTTGCATGTTTTAATGTGAAAATGGGCAAAATAAGTTATGCCCACCAATTTCACCAGGTTCCTCTAAGAGTGAAACAAAAATGTAAAACAGAAAATTATATATTGCTGTATAAAGAACCTCTCATAGTGTTAAATAGAAAGTTTTGGAAGCAAGCAAGAACCTTAGGTAAGACAAGAAATGAATGAGGGAATGGCCACATTCTCCTCCAGCTGCCCAAGATGCCAAAATGTAAAGTCAAGAGGAAGAAGGTGACCCCAGCTCCTGCTATGTGAAGAAGCAGGAGGCCAAGGAGGTGGTAATTCTCCTGTTTGAGAAGAGACCTGAGAATTATGGCATCGGACAGGACATCCAACCCTCTAAGAAGAGCCTCATCCATTTTGTTAGATGGCCTTGCTACATCTGGCTGCAACAGCACAGGGCCACCCTGTATAAGTGGTTGAAAGTGCATCTTGCCTTTAGCCACTACACCCAGACCCTGGACCTCCAGTCAGCCACTCAGCTGTGGAAGCTGGCCCACAAGTATAAACCAGAGACAAAACAAGAGAAGGAACACAGGCTGGTTCCCAGGGCCAAGAAGAAAGCTGCTGGCCAAGGCGACATCCCCACTAAGAGACTGCCTGTCCTAGTGGAGGTCACCACTGTCATCACCTTTGGGGAGAATAAGAAGACTCAGCCAGTGGTGGTTGCACACGGTGTGTGGTCCACATAGCTGGCTGGCTTCTTGCCTTCCCTGCATTGTGGATGGGGGTGCATTACTGCATCATCAAGGAAAAGACCAGGCTCAGTGTCTGTCCACAGGAAGACCTGCACCACCGTGGTCTTCTCTCGCAGGTGAACTCGGAAGACAAAGGAACTCTGGCTAAGCTGGTGGAAGCCATCAGGACCAACTACAATGACAGATGATGGTGAGATCCACCATGACTGGGGAGGCGATGCATAGGATCCAAATCTGTGGCTTGCATTGCTAAGCTGTAACAGGCTAAAGAACTCACCACAGGGTTGGGATAGGTATGCACTTTTGAGCTTCCTGTACATAATAAAGATTCTCCTTAAAAAAAAAAAATGCCTTCTACACACCTACACTCTTAGCTCCCTGGCAGTGGGAACTAATTGGTGAGGTTAAGGTTGCTGCAGTTGGAGCCGGCGCTGTGGCTTGGTAGGTTGGGCCTTTGCAGTGCCAGCATCCCATAAGGGTGCCAATTCGTGTCTGGCCGCTCCTCTTCTGATCCAGCTTTCTGCTTACAGTCTCTCAAATAAATAAATAAAAAGATTGCTGCAATTCAAACTGCCAGAATAGAATCAAAAACGTTTAAGTTTATGCAAACAATATGAAAGAAATCTACTAAGCAAGAAGCAACATTTCAAGGATTTTTTTAAGATGTGACTCAAGCTAGCAATAAAATTACATGAAAGAAAAAGCAGCCTGGCGTTAGCAGCTGTACTTCATCGCGGAGCGCAGAGAGCCAGGAGGAGGCAAGACGCCAGCCCTGCAGGGGTTATAAAACTACAACTCCCAGAAATCCCCGGCCAGGCGAGGGGCGGGGCCAACGGTGTATGGGCGGGGCCCCAGGGGCGCTTCTCCCGCGAGGAGTTCCGCGTGAAGTGGCGGGAGCGGCGGCTATGGAGGCGCGGGAAGCGAAAGAAGCGCAGGTGACCGGCTGGGAGCGGGCGTTGGCGGCTTCCCGAGACCGCGTCTGGGGCGTGCCGGTGCCGCCGGCGCCATCTCCTGAGCGCTGCCACAGCTGCTTGCCTTCTCCTGTTCCCCACACGCCCGTCTTTAGTGACCTGTGAGCCGGGTCTCCCGGGACCCTTCTTCCCCGGACTCCCCTCGCTGTCCCGGGCTTGGACAGGCGTCAGGCAGCCGCCGTAACGAACCCCCTCGGAGCTGGCTGGAGCGGGACTTGTGCACCCACCCTCCAGCCTCGGCTCGCCCGTCGCTGCTGCCTCCTGCCTGAATTTTCACACCGGCACCGCTTCCAAGTCCCGCATCCCGGATCAGGGGGTCTCCCGGCACCGCGTCGTCTAGGATGTTGCGGGCAACTCCTTTTTTTTTTAATTCAGCCCCGGGGGGTGTAAGACTGCGTTTGTACCCTGCATATTGAGTCTTAAGGCTTTCCTAGTGAGGCAAATTGTTCGTCTGTACCGCTTTGTAGCTCTTTAGGAATGATTCGTTCCCCGGTGAATTCGACTCTTTGCGCCCGCCCACTGCCAAAGCTTGTATCCCTCGAGACAGTTAGGAGGTGACGCCAAGGGAGCCAGAGTATTTACTTCGCGTTTGTTGACCGTCATGCCTGCATCGTGTCATTGCAATTAAAATATGTCTATATAATTTTCTTCCTTTTCATGATGAGGTTGCTGCGTGGTTGAAAAAAATATTTGGAGATCATCCCATTCCACAGTATGAGGTGAACCCACGGACCACAGAGATTTTGTATCATCTTTCGGAACGCAACAGGGCCCGGGACAGGGACGTCCACCTAGTCATAGAGGACTTGAAACAGAAAGCAAGCGAGTATGAATCCGAAGGTGAGAGTAAGTCCTGAGTTTTTCTGAATGAGATCGTAGAAGTAACCAATGTTTGTAACAATGAAATGTGCAAGATTCGGTATAGACAGCTTATTTTGCTTCTTTGTTTGCTAGATGTGTCTTCTACTCAGGTTTCATAGAATTATTTTGTTACTACTCTGATAGCAAAACCACAAACCTAAAGAGTCTAAACTTAGGAGCCCAGTGGGAAAGATGCCTTGCGGGTTTTGACCTCCGTATGTGTGTGGTCTGTCTCCTGTCCCCATGCCTTAGTCCTGCCAAGCTGTTAGACCACCTGCGGTGGCAGCCCTGAACAAACTACAGTAGGACTGTGTGTCAGGGACTGCTTTGGTTTTTCTCCTGGGATTATTCAGTTTAAAAAAGTGTGTTCCACACATCTATTTTTTTTTAGATTTATTTTATTTATTTGAAAGAGTTACAGAAAGAGGTAAAGACAGAGAGAGATTGTCTTCCATCCACTGGTTCACTCCACAAATGGCTGCAATGGCCAGAGCTGAGCCGATCCGAAGCCAGGAGCCAGGAGCTCCCTCGGGGTCTCCCTCATGGGTGCAGGAGTCCAAGGACTTGGGCCATCTTCTAATGCTTTCCCAGGCGCATCAGCCAGGAGCTGGATCGGAAGAGGAGCAGCCAGGACACAAACCGGCACCCATATGGGATGCCGGCACCACAGGTGCAGAACAGCTCCATCCATCATCCCAAAAGCCTCCCCAGTGCTACTCCTTTGTAATGTTTTTAAATTGTTTTACTTATAGATGATTTTATTTTTGTAGTTATTAAAATATAGTCTAGAGAAATGAACTTTGAGTCCAGAATAATCTCATTCTATAAGTTGTTTTTTCTTTTTCTTTTTTTTTCTTCCTTTTCTTATTTGAAAGTCAAGAGACAAACATATCTTCCATCTGCTGGCTCACTCTGCAAGTGTAAGCAACAGCCAGGGGTGGGCCTGGATCAAGCCAGGAACTGGGAAACCACCCAGGATCTCCCATGAGGGTAGCAGCAACCCAAGTACTTGAACCATCATCTGCTGCCTCCCAGGGTGTGCATGAGCAGTTAGCTGGAATTGAAGGCTGAGCTGGTACTGAAACCCACACACTACAGTATGGGATGTGGGCTACTCAACCAGCATCTTAAACCACTGTGCCAAATGCCTTGCCCTGGAGTGTTCTTTAACTGTCTTTTAGATTAGTTGATTATATACTATTGTTCCAGTTTTCTGTTTCCATATTGATATTCTACCTTGCTTTCATTATTGAAAGTAGGATATCGAGGCCGGCGCCGTGGCTCACTAGGCTAATCCTCCACCTTGCGGCACCGGCACCCCAGGTTCTAGTCCCAGTCGGGGTGCCAGATTCTGTCCTGGTTGCCCCTCTTCCAGTCCAGCTCTCTGCTGTGGCCCGGGAGTACAGTGGAGGATGGCCCAAGTCCTTGGGCCCTGCACCTGCATGGGAGACCAGGAGAACCACCTGGCTCCTGGCTTCGGGTCAGTGTGGTGTGCCTGCCATAGCGGCCATTGGAGGGTGAACTAACGGTAAAAGGAAGCCCTTTCTCTCTGTCTCTTTCTCACTGTCCACTCTGCCTGTCCAAAAAAAAAAAAAAAAAAAAAAAAAGGTAGGATATCGAAATCTTCAACTATTGTTGAATTGTCTATTTCTCTCTATTTTTGTTGGTTTTTGTTTCATAGATCTTGGTGTCTATTAGGTGTATATATTTTTGCAGTTACATATTTTGATAGATTGACTCTTATCATTATAAAATTCCCTCTTTAGCTCTAGTACCATATTTTTTCATAGAGTCTGTTTTATCTGATGATATCAGTGTAGCTATTCCAGCATTCTTGTGGTTGCTTTGCTACTCGAATGATACATTGTTTTTTAAAGATTTTTATTGGAACCGGTGCAATGGCGCAGTAGGTTAATCCTCTGCCTGCAGTGCCAGCATCCCATATGGGCGGCGGTTCTACTCCCAGCGGCTTCACTTCCAATCCAGCTCTCTGCTATGGCCTGGGAAAGCGGTAGAAAATGGCCCAAGTACTTGGGCCCCTGCACCCATGTGGGAGACCAGGAAGAAGTGCCTGGCTCCTGGCTTTGGATTGGCACAGCTCCAACCGTTGCAGCCATTGAGGAGTGAACCAACGGATAGAAGACCTTTCTTTCTGTCTCTCCCTCTCACTGTCTATAACTCTACCTCTCAAATAAAATTTAAAAAAATTTTTTTAAATTTACGTTTATTTGAAAGTCAGAGTTACACAGAGAGAGAAGGAGAGGCAGAGAGAGAGGTCTTCCATCCGCTGGTTTACTGCCCAGTTGGCTGCAGTGGCTGGAGCTGGACCCATCCGGAGCCAGGAGCTTCTTCCTGGTTTCCCACATAGGTGCAGGGTCCCTGCTTTTCCAGGCCATAGCAGAGAGCTGGATTGGAAATGGAGCAGCTGGGACTAGAACCGGCGCCCATATGGGATGCCAGCACTGCAGGCGGTGGCTTTACCTGCTACGCCATAGTGCCAGCCCCAAATACTTTCTTTCTTTCTTTTTCTTTTCTTTTTTTTTTTTTTAGATTTTTATTTATTCGAGAGGTAGAGTTACAGAGGGAAGGAGAGACAGAGAGAAAGGTCTTCCATCCACTGGCTCATTCCCCAAATGGCTGCAATGGCCAGAGCTAGGCTGATCCAAAGCCAGGAGCCTGGAGCTTCTTCCCAGTCTCCCACATGAGTGGAGGGGCCCAAGGACTTGGGCCATCTTCTACGGCTTCCCCAGGCCATAGCAGAGAGCTGGATTGGAAGAAGAACAGCTGGGACTAGAACTGGTGCCCATATGGGATGCTGGCACCACAGGCAGAGACCTAGCCTCCTATGCCAGAGCACCTGCCCCGATGCATTTTTTTTTTAAAGATTTATTTATTTAGTTGAAAGGCAGAGTTACAGACAGAGAGATGGAGAGACAGAGAGAGATCTTCCATCCACCTGGATACAATTATATCTCTATTCTCCTTTCCCTTTTTGTGGTGTTACTGTTACACATATCCAATGTTACAGACTGGACCATGAGTAGTCACTTCTTAGCCCTAGACACCTTTACAGGATCATACCCGTATCCTTTGTGCTGCTGTTAGCATATTTCTATGGCCCAACAGTATATTATACACAATTGTTTTTCATAAAATTTTATAGGATTATTCTATACAATTTTTAAAAATCAGTTAAGAAAAATATCCGTAGTTGCTGATGCTCTACTTTTTGGTTTTTTGTTTTGTTTTGTTTTGTTTTAGATTTATTTATGTATTTGAGAGGCAGAGTTACAGAGAGAGAGAGATCTTCCATCTGCTGGTTCAATCTCCAAATGGCCCCAATGACTGGAGCTGGGTTGATCCAAAGCCAGGAGCTTCTTCCAGGTCTCCCATGTGGGTACATGGGCCCAAGCACTTAGGGCATCTTCCACTGCCTTTCACAGGCCATTAACAGAGAGCTGGATTGGAAGTAGAACAGCTGGAACTCAAACCAGCACCCATATGGGATTCTGGTGCAGCAAGTAGAAGCTTAACCTACTATGCCACAGTACAGGCCCGGATGATCTAACTTTTCATGTGCATTCAAAATACTATTTGGAATCACTTGCTTTCAGCCTATAGAACTTCTTGTAGTATTTCTTGTAAGTTGGTCTGCTAACAGCAAATTCTCTGTCTTTGTCTATCTTGTAGCCTTTATTTTGCTTTCATTTCTTTATATGTTTATTTTATTTTCACTTATTTGAAAGGCAGAGTGATGGAGAAGAGAGACAGACATCTTCTATCTGCTGGTTCACTCCCCAAATGTCAGCAACAGCCAGGGTTTGGCCAGGAGCTCAGAACTCCATCTGGGTTTCCTGTATGAGTGGTGGGGTCCAACCACTTGAGCTATCATCTGCTCCCTCCCAGGGTGCATTAACAGGAAGTTGGATAGGAAGCTGTTAAATCCCAACTTGGGAAGCCCAAATCTCATATCAGAGTGCCTTGGAAAGCAGAGGAAGATGTCCCCAGTACTTGGAACCCTGCCTCTCATGTGGGAGACCTGGATGGAGTTCCTGGCTCCTGCCTTCAGCCTGGCCCAGCCCCAGCTGATGCAGTCATTTGGGGAGTAAACCAGAGGATGGAAAAATTTCTTTCTCTCTGTCTCTCCCTTGCTGTCTGTCAATCTATCTTTCAAATAAATAAAATAGATCTTAAAAAAAATAAAGGAAAATAATGTTTGAGGAATGTGAGGTTTCTTTTGGGGGTGATGAAATATTCTGAAATGGATTGTGTTGCTGAATATGCAACTCTAAATGTACTAATGGCCATTAGGTGAGTGGAATGCTAGGTAGTGAGTTATAACTAAATAAAGCTATTAAAAGTTCAAAACGCAAAAAAACAAACATACATACACACACAAGGAAAGCATCTTAGTCACCATGGGACTCCTTATGTTTTTCAGCCAAGCATCTTCAAGACCTTCTCATGGAGAGTGTAAATTTCTCTCCTGCCAATCTCTCCAGCACCGGTTCCAGGTATCTGAATGCTTTGGTTGACAGTGCAGTGGCTCTTGAAACAAAGGATACCTCACTTGCTAGGTAATTATTGTGACCATTTTAATTGCTGTTGTCATATATGCCATGAGGTATTGATCTGAGGACTTTCTGTTTATTAGGATAATTCTTTATAAAGAATCAACAATAAATGCGAAAGCACTGAATTTCATTTAACTCCATATCTTTGCTAGTGAATAAAATTAATTCAGATAAATTTGGTATTGGTTAACTTTTAATATTTTCTTGTTCCAGGATTAGGTTTGTAAAGGTTGGTTCTCATGTATATTTGGAAAAGGATTAGGTACCACTTAACAATGTGCTCTGTAAATAATAAGAAAAACAGTAGGCTGAATGATCCACTTGAGCATGGTAAATATTGGTCATGTTTTCACCATATTGAGTAGAAGAGGTTAGGGGTCTTTATTTGTGATAGATTCTTTTTTTTTTTTTTTTAAGATTTATTTATTTATTTGAAAGAGTTACAGAGAGGCAGAGAGAGAAGTCTTCCATCTGTTGGTTCACTCCCCAAATGCCACAATGGCAGCTATACTGATCCACAGCCAGGCGCCAGGAGCTTCTTCCAGGTCTCCCACATGGGTGCAGGGGCCCAAGCACTTGGACCAACTTCTACTGCTTTCCCAAGCCATAGTAGAGAGCTGGATCAGAAGAGGAGCAGCCGGGACTAGAACCGGCACCCCTATGGGATGCTGACACTTCAGGTGATGGCTTTACTTGCTACATCACAGCACCAGCCCCTGTGATAGACACCTTTATAACGACTTGATTCTTTCAACAACCCTAAGAGGAAAACGGAGGCCTGGGTAAAATAACTTTCCCAAACTAGTAAATGGCAGAGTTGGGCGTCTAACACAGTCTGACTCCACACTGTGTATAGTTTTTGGCCATATCTTACTGAGGACCACAGTTCTAACATACAATCAGAGAACTGCATGGTTGTTCTGCTTAATTGCCAGTTTCAGGGCTTGGAATTTTTTTTTTTGACAGGCAGAGTGGACAGTGAGAGAGAGACACACAGAGAGAAAGGTCTTCCTTTTGACGTTGGTTCACCCTCCAATGGCCACCGCGGCCGGCGCACTGTGGCCGGTGCATCGCGCTGATCTGAAGCCAGGAGCCAGGTGCTTTTCCTGGTCTCCCATGTGGGTACAGGGCCCAAAGACTTGGGCCATCCTCCACTGCACTCCCGGGCCCTAGCAGAGAGCCGGCCTGGAAGAGGGGCAACCGGGACAGAATCCGGCGCCCCAACCGGGACTAGAACCCGGTGTGCCGGCGCCGCAAGGCGGAGGATTAGCCTAGTGAGCCACGGCGCCGGCCATAGGGCTTGGAATTTTTATATAGGCCCAAAGAGTAGTGTGTTAGGTCTAAGAACACGTAGGTTGTACGGCAGCAGAAGTCTAGAATGACGTCATTGTTGTGACTCCACAGAGACCTGTTGTAGGCTAGGTATGTGAGCACTGAAGAAGCAGACTGCCTTCAAGGACAGCTTCTGCCCATGGTCAAATAAGGGAGACGGACATGTATACTGTGGTGTGACAACTGCAGCCATACAAGAGTGCACTACCTGTTGCTCACAGCCACAGAGAAAGAGGTAGTGAATTCCAGGAGGCAAGGAAATCTTAGATTGAGTTTGGAGGGAGAAGTGGAACTTTGCCAGCTGAAGGACATTCAGGGATTGGGAACAGCGTGTAAAAATGCACCAGGATTAAACAGCACAAGTAAGAATCCACACAGAGATAAAATCATTTTTAGAAATGAGGAATGATTCTAATTATCTGTAATGCTCACTTATGTGACTAAATTCTTCTTGTAGTTTTATCCCTGCAGTGAATGATTTGACATCTGATCTTTTTCGTATCAAATCCAAAAATGAAGAAATCAAGCTTGAATTGGGAAAACTTGAAAAAAATCTAACTGCAACATTAGTATTAGAAAAATGTCTACGAGAGTAAGTAATTGAGTTGAAAATGGTGACAAATTTTTATTATACAGATAATAGCAGGACATTGTCAGACTTAGTTTTAGCTATCTATAAATAGGATTTTTTTTAATATGTTGGGAAACAGGGCTCATAATATTCTTTTAAGTAGAAAATTACTTAAGTGAAAGTGGGGAATGAATGGATGTGGACGTTCACTTTTTACTCCAACATTATTTAGACAAGGCCGTAATCAAAGTGGAAGTTCTCTCCTCCCTTCAGAGAAAGGTACCTCCTTCTTCGATGGCCCCTTCTTTCCTCTGGGATCTCACTCACAGAGATCTTTCATGTAGGCCATTTTTTGCCACAGTGTCTTGGTTTTCCATGCCTGAAATGCATGGGCTTTTTAGCCAGATCTCAATGCCTTAAGGGCTGATTCTGAAGCCAGAGTGCTGTTTAGGGCATTTGTCATTTTATGAGTCTGCTGTGTATCCTGATTCCCATATTGGATCATTCTCTCCTTTTTAATTCTATCAATTATTATTAGCAGACACTTGGTCTTATTTATGTGATCCCTTTGACACTCAATCCTATCTTTATGATCAGTTATGAACTTAAACTGATCACCTTAACTGGTAAGATGGTATTGGTACCTGCCAACTTAATGGAATTTGGAGTCCCATGGCAAGTTTTTAGCTCTACACTTAGGGGTAAGTCTGAGGGAGTGTGTGCCGAAATGTCCATCTCTTCCTTCTCTTATTCCCACCCTTATTTTTAACAGGCATCAATTTTCAATTGGATTTAAACACCTAAGAATAATTCTATGTTAAGTAAAGAGTTCAACCAATGGTATTAAGTAGAAAAAGAAAATACTAAAAGGAATAAAATAGTAAGCTGTTCCTCACAGTCAGGACAATGACTGATCAAGTCATTGCTTTTCATAGTGTCAGTTTCACTTCTACAGGTTTCCTTTTAGGTGCTCAGTTAGTTGTTACTGATCAGGGAGAACATATATTTGTCCCTTTGGGACTGGCTTATTTCACTCAGCATGATGTTTTCCAGATTCCTCCATTTTGTTGCAAATGACCTGATTTCATTTTTTTCTGCTGTAGAGTGCATATCCCATAATTTCTTTATCCAGCCTTCCGTGGATGGGCTTTTAGGTTGATTCCATGTCTTAGCTATTGTGAATTGAGCTGCAATAAACATTGAGGTGCCGACAGCTCTTTTATTTACCAATTTAATTTCCCTTGGGTAAATTCCGTGGAGTGGGATTGCTGGGTCGTATGGTAGGGCTATATTCAGATTTCTGAGGTATCTCCGAACTGTCTTCCATAGTGGCTTTACCAGCTTGCAATCCCAACAACAGTGAATTAGTGTGCTTTTTCCCCACATCCTTGCCATCATCTGTTGTTAGTTGATTTCTGTATGAAAGCCATTCTAACTGGGGTGAAATGAAACCTCACTGTGGTTTTGATTTGCATTTCCCTGATGGCTAGTGATCTTGAACATTTTTTCATATGTCTGTTGGCCGTTTGGATTTTCTCTTTTGAAAAATGTCTATTTAGGTCCGTGGCCCATTTCTTAAGTAGGTTGTTTGTTTTGTTATGGTGGAGTTTCTTGATCTCTTTGTAGGTTCTGATTATTAATCCTTTACAGTTGCATAATTTACAAATATTTTCTTCTATTCTGTTGGTTGCCTCTTCACTTTCCTGACTGTTTCTTTTGCAGTATAGAAACTTCTCAATTTGATGTAATCCCAGTTGTTAATTTTGGCTTTGGCTGCCTGTGCCTCTGGAGTCTTTTCCAAGAAGTCTTTGCCTGTGCCTATATCTTGCAGGACTGTCATTTATTTTTACAAATAGTGCACACTTTATGATTTTCAAAATGTATTTAATTGTTTTTAGGAGGTATTTATTTATTTGAAAGGCAAAAATACAGAGAGGCAAAGGCAGAGAAAGAAGTCTTCCATCCGCTGGTTCACTCTCAAAATGGCCACAACAGCCAGAGCTAGGCTGATCCGAAACCAGCAGCCAGGAGCTTCTTCCAGGTCTCCTACATGGGTGCAGGGACCCAAGCACTTGGGCCATCTTCTACTGCTTTCCCAGGCCATAGCATAGAGCTGGATTAGAAGTGGAATAGCTGAAGGCTGGTGCCGCGGCTCACTAGGCTAATCCTCCTGCCACGCTGGCAGACCAGGTTCTAGCCCTGGTTGGGGTGCCGGATTCTGTCCCGGTTACCCCTCTTCCAGGCCAGCTCTCTGCTGTGGCCAGGGAGTGCAGTGGAGGATGGCCCAAGTGCTTGGGCCCTGCACCCCATGGGAGACCAGGAGAAGCACCTGGCTCCTGCTATCGGATCAGCGCGGTGCGCTGGCCGCAGCGTGCCAGCCATGGCGACCATTAGAGAGTGAACCAACAGCAAAGGAAGACCTTTCTCTCTGTGTGTCTCTCTCTCTCACTGTCCACTCTGCCTGTCAAAAAAAAAGGAAGTGGAACAGCTGAGATTCGAACCGGTACCCATGTGGGATGCTGGCACTGCAGGCAGTGGCTTTACCTGCTATGCGACAGCACCTGCCCTCATGATTTTTTTTAACTTATAAAATAGTATGTAACTTGGGAAGTGAGATACTCAGCAGACTCATAGAATGGCAGATGTCCTAAATAGCACTCTGGCCTCAGAATCAGCCCTAAAGGCACTCGGATCTGGCTGAAAAGCCCATGAGAGTATTTCAGGCATGGAAAGCCAAGACACTCTGGCAAAAAGATCTCTGTGAGTGAGATCCCAGTGGAAAGAACAGGTCTTCAAAGAGGGAGGTGCCTTTCTCTGAAGGGAGGAGAGAACCTCCACTTTGACTATGACCTTGTCTAAACAAGATAAGAGTCGGAGAACTCAAGGGGCTTCCATAGCCTTGGAAACTCATGACTGGTGCATAGGGAGATTACTGATGCCATAAACAGGAGTGTCAATTGGTAAAGTCAACAACAGGAGTCACTGTGCACTTACTCCTCATGTAGGATCTCTGTCCTTAATGTGCTGTACACTGAGGCTTAATGCTATAACGAGTACTCAAACAGTATATTTCACTTTGTGTTTCTATGGGGGTGCAAACTGTTGAAATCTTTACTTAATGTACACTAAACTGATCTTCTGTTAAAAAAAAAAAAAAAAGAAAAGAAACTATCAATTCCCAACTTGACTCTCACTGGGATTAAACATGACAATAGGTCTGATCTGATTTCATCATCATTTAAAAAAAAATCATCTATTATTTTTCACTTTATGTTTCTGTGTGGGAACAAACTGTTGAAATCCTTACTTAAGGTATACTAAGCTGATCTTCTGTATACTAAGATAATCGAAAATGAATCTTGATGTGAATGGAAGGGGAGAGGGAGTGGGAAAGGGGAGGGTGGTGGGTGGGAGGGACGGTATGGGGGGGAAAGCCATTGTAACCCATGAGACGTACTTTGGAAATTTATATTCATTAAATAAAAGATAAAAAAAAAATAGTATGTAACTTCAAGTGCCATTATATTTGCTTTGCTGCATTTTCTTACTGTATCTCTGATTGTCCTGTTTTGGTGGCATGGGCCTTCTTTAGGTCCTTGTTACCCCAGAAATGAGATCCTGTGGGACAGGAGTCTATAAATGCACAGGTAATTTGGTGGTGTGCAAATATGTTCAGAAAATAGTATGTATGTGCAAAGCACTGTCTTTCAAATAGGCCTTAAGACCCTTGAATGACAGGTTTACTTTTTCCAAGAATAACTGCCATAAGTTAATCTTAAAATTACTGTGTATTCCTTAAGAAAAATCCCAGATGGCAGCACAGAGGGGAAGGTGACCTAGGATAATACAGGGTAGTCTAGGATATAAAAATTCATGGTAGAGGGGCCAGCGCTGTGGTGTAGTGTGAAAAGTCACTGCCTGCTGTGCTGGCATCCCATATGCGTGAATGTTCAAGTTCTGGCTCCTCTGCTTCCGAGTCAGCTCTGTGCTATGGCCTGGGAGGGCAATAGAAGATGGCCCAAGTCCTTGGGCCCCTGCACCTGTATGGGAGACCCAGAAGAAGCTCCTGGCTCCTAGATTCTGCCTGGCCCAACCCTGGCTATTGTGGCCATCTGGGGAGTGAACCAGCAGATGGAAGATCTGTCTCTCCCTCTCTCTCTATAACTCTCACTTTCAGATAAATAAATTTAAAAATATATACATATAAAAACTCTTATCTGCTGTGGCCTGGGAGTGCAGTGGAGGATGGCCCAGGTGCTTGGGCCCCTGCACACACATGGGCGACCAGGAGGAAGCACCTGGCTCCTGGCTTCGGATCGGAGCAGCGCACCGACTGCAACGCGCCGGCCATGGCGGGCACTTCGGGGGTGAACCAACGGAAAAAGGAAGACCTTTCTCTCTCTCTCTCTCTCTCTTTCTCTCTCTCTCACTCTCTCTCTCACTGTCTAATTCTGCCTGTCAAAATAATAAAAAATAAAATTAAATAAATAAAACTCTGACTTTAAAATAAATAATCTTTTTAAAAAAATAGAAAAGAAAAATCTGATAACTAGATCATCTACCTTTACTAAGCTAGATTTGAATCCAAAAAGCAGTAGAGTTTCTTTTTTTATAATAATTTCACTGGAAAGCAGTGAAATAATTTTTTTGAAGATTTATTTATTTATTTGAAATGCAGAGTTAAACAGACATGGGGAAAGAGAGAGAGAGGTCTCCAATACGCTAGTTCACTCCCCAAATGCCCACAATGGCTAGAGCTGGGCCCATCCAAAGCCAGGAGCCAGAAACTTCTTCCGGGTCTCCCATGCGAGTGCAGGGGCCCAAGGACTTGGACCATCTTCTGCTGCTTTCCCAGGCCATAGCAGAGAGCTGGATTGGAAGTGGAGCAGCTGGAACTCGAACCAGCACCCATATGAGATGCCGGCACTGCAGGCGGTGGCTTTACCTGCTGCACCACAGCGTCGGCCCTGATCAATGTGAAATTATTATAAAGTAATAATTTAATTTTGCTTTTTAAAGGGATCTCAAGAAGGCAGAACTGCATCTGTCTATAGAAAGGGCCAAAGTTGACAGTCGTCTTCAGAACATGGATTTCCTGAAGGCAAAGTCAGAGGAGTTCAGATTTGGCATCAAAGCTGCAGAGGTTTGTATGAAGGCCAGAGCAGAGTCAGCTCACCTCAGACTTCCTTCTAACCTCCATCCTCAGAACTAGGCAGTGTTACTAGTTCATTGTCACAACTGAGAGGACCGCAGAGAAGACAGGTGACTTGCCAGGGTTACTTACCATCTTAGCTGCTGATCCAGATTCATACTCCGGCATTCAGGCGCTGAAGCTAAGGCCTTTAAGCACTGTACCCATCTTGTCACAAATGTTCGAATGCGGGGGTCTAGAAAGGGGTTGCGTGTGGCATCAAAGTGCTTAGATGTGTGTGTAAGTGTTCCTCTGTGATTTATAGTTTCTCTTTACTCTGTTAGATGTTGGAACTATTTCATGATGCTCACCTTCAAGACAGTATTTTAACTGAGCCCCTTTCTGATCATTGCAGGAGCAGCTCTCAGCCAGAGGCATGGACGCTTCTCTGTCTCATCAGTCACTAGTCGCACTGTCGGAGGTGAGCTGCTTGTCTTAGTCCAAGTTCTGCTGAAACAAAACATCACAAACTGAGTAATCTGTAAATAATTGCACCTTCTCTGGCTCCGGGGTCTGGAGGCCACATCTTGGGAGGGCTTTCATGCCGAGTCATGACACATTAGACAGACAAGTGAACACACAAGTATGAGACACAGAGGAAACTGGGTGGAGCTCATGTTTTCTCTCAGGAGCCCACTCCCACTATAACAGCTTTAATCCATTCTTAATCACCTCTTTTTTATTCTTAATTTTTTAAAGATGTATTTATTTAAAAGTCAAAGTTATAGGGAAGGAGAGAGAGGTATCTTCCATCTACCTGTTCACTCCCTAGATGGCTGGGCCAGGCAGGAGCCAGAAGCCTGGAACTCCAGCCATGTTTCCCAGTGGCAGGGACCCAGGTACTTGGGCCATTCTCTGCTGCTTTGTCAGACACATCAAACTGGATCAGAAGTGGAGCAGCTGGGACTAGGATGCTATGATATTGGATGCTAGCGTTGAAGGTGGTGGCACCACAATGCAGCCCCTCCTAATCGCTTAAGAGTCCCACTGCTTAATACAGTCAGAATAGGGGCTAGTGCTGTGGCTCACTTGGCTAATCCTCTGCCTGCGGCACCAGCATCCCATATGGACGCCAGGTTCTAGTCCCTGCTGCTCCTCTTCCAGTCCAGCTCTCTGCTGTGGCCTGGGAAGGCAGTGAAGGATGGCCCAAGTGCTTGTGCCCCTGCACCCACATGGGAGACCAGGAAGAAGCACCTGGCTCCTGGCTTCGGATTGGCACAGCGCTGGCCATAGTGGCCATTTGGGGGGTGAACCAACAGAAGGAAGACTTTTCTCTCTGTGTCTCTCTCTCACTAACTCTATCGGTCAAATAAGTTAAAAAAAAAAAAATATATATATATATATATAGTCACAATAGCAATTAAATTTCTTTTTTTTAAAGATTTATTTATTTATTTGAAAGAGAGAGGAGAGGCAGAGTCTTCCATCTGCTGTTGCCAGCAACAGCCAGAGCTGCGCCAATCTGAAGCCAGGAGCCAGGAGCTTCTTCCAGGTCTCCCACGTGGGTGCAGGGGCCCAAGGACTTGGGTCATCTTCTACTGCTTTCCCAGGCCATAGCAGAGAGCTGAATCAGAAGTGGAACAGCCAGGATTTGAACCTGGCGCCCATATGGGATGCTGACACTGTAAGCGGCAGCTTTACCTGCTATGCCACTGCACCAGCCCCAACAATTAAATTTCAACACAACTTTTATAGGGAACATTTTAACCATTGTATTTATTTTAACCTAATTTAACTTTCCTTAAAATATTATTCCGGGGTGAGCATTTGGGTTGGCAGTTAGGATGCTAGTTAATATGCCTGCATCTCAGAATGGGTTCACACAGAAGTTAAGATGCCATTTGGGATTCCCTCACCTCAGAATACCTGGATCAAGCCCCAGCTCCTTTGCTTCTTGTCCAGCTTCCTGCCAATGCACACCTGTGAGGCAGTAAATGATGGCTGAAGTTCTTGGACCCTGTCACCCATGTGGGAAATCCAGATTGAGTTCCAAACTCTTGGCTGCATTTGGCACATCTCTGGCTCTTTCAGGGATTTGGGACGTGAAGCAGCAGATGAGAGATCACTGTGTGTCTCTGTCTGCCTTTCCAATAAAATGTAAATAAATAAATAACTTTAAATGCCTGGGTCCCACATCTGAGTGCCTGGGTTTTTGTTATTGTATTTATTTATTTATTTAGAAAGAGTTACACAGAGAATCTTCCATTTGCTGATTCACTCTCCAAATGGCTACAATGGCCAGCACTGGGCTAGGCTAAAGCCAGGAATCAGGAGCTTCGTCCTGGTCTCCTTCATGGGTCACAGGGACCCAAACACTTGGACCATCTTCTGCTGCTTTTGCCAGGCCATCAGCAGGGAGCTGGATCAGAAGTGGAGCAGCCTGGATATGAATCAGCATCTCTCCACCACAGTGCTGGCCGCCTGAGTACCTGCATTTTGATTCCCAGTGCTACTCCTGACTCCAGCTGCCTGCTAATGCAGATGCTCAGAGGCAGTGGTGATGTCTGCAGTAACTGGATACCTGCCACCCTCATGGGAGACCTGGACTGAATTCCCAGCTCCTGGGTGCTGGCTTCAGCCCTTCAAGGCCACTGCAGGCGTTTGAGGAGTGAACCAGTGAATGCGATTGTTCTCTCTCTCTCTGTCTCTCTCTCATCTTTTTTTTTTTTTTTTTTTGACAGTGGACAGTGAGAGAGAGAGACAGAGAGAAAGGTCTTCCTTTGCCGTTGGTTCACCCCCCAATGGCCACTGCGGCCAGCGCACCGCGCTGATCTGAAGCCAGGAGCCAGGTGCTTCTCCTGGTCTCCCATGCAGGTGCAGGGCCCAAGAACTTGGGCCATCCTCCACTGCACTCTCAGGCCATAGCAGAGAGCTGGACTGGAAGAAGGGTAACCGGGACAGAATCCGGCACCCCGACTGGGACTAGAACCCGGTGTGCCGGCGCCACAGGCGGAGGATTAGCCTATTGAGCTACAGCGGTGCCGGCTCTCTCTCATCTTAACTCTATCTCACTTCCTGCCTCCCAAATAAGTATTAGTCCTCAATATGCTTTATTATTTCTTATTTTTAGGGCTTTCGTACACTGTTGAGCTGATTACTTTTCCCTTACTTTTTATGTCCACAGTATTTACATCTGTATTACCTGCTTGGCTATACGTATACATACACACACACACCCACACACACACACATTTGGTTTCCTTTTTGTGTTACTATAATCTGCGAACTCTACTGGAGTCAGTTATAAACTATTGATTTATTTATTAAACAGATTTATTGAGTGTGTGCTAACCATCTAAGTGCACCTTTCTTCTCTTCTAGTATGCTTTTAAGAATACAGGTCACTGGCCGGCGCCGTGGCTCAATAGGCTAATCCTCCACCTTGCGGCGCCGGCACACCGGGTTCTAGTCCCGGTTGGGGCGCCGGATTCTGTCCCGGTTGCCCCTCTTCCAGGCCAGCTCTCTGCTATGGCCAGGGAGTGCAGTGGAGGATGGCCCAAGTGCTTGGGCCCTGCACCCCATGGGAGACCAGGAAAAGCACCTGGCTCCTGGCTCCTGCCATCGGATCAGCGCGGTGCGCCCGGCTGCAGCGGCTGGGCCATTGGAGGGGGGAACAAACGGCAAAAGGAAGACCTTTACTCTCCTCTATCTCTCTTCTCTCCACTGTCGCCTCTGCCGGTGGGGAAAAAAAAAAAAAAAAAAAAAAAAAAAAAGAATACAGGTCACTAAACTCCTGTAGTTTCCCAGTGCAATTCTGGGTTTTCAGACTGTGTAAGTGTCTTATCTATTTTGGTAGGAAGAGAGAGAAATAGGGGATTTTATTTTATTATCCTTACTTTTTTCTGTCTGATTCTTGGAATCTAAAGTTGACAATTTATAAATATATATTTGAGGTTTTAATTGTTCTTATACATTCTAATCCTTCATGATCACATTGTTTATGTTCTTCACATACTTCCATCTTATTCTTAATCAGTGGGTATATGACATTACTATTTTAGCCATCCTATAAGCACTGCTTCCAGTGGAGGTGAGTTTGTCTATCCATTTATTTTTGAAGCTCATCATTTGATTCAGTGTCCGGAACACCCTAATGTCAGTGCTTTCTTATGTTTTATTTCACAAACGGGCAATATTTGGTTGCATTGTGAATATCTATTACTCTGTGACTCTGTGTTTTTTCCATCCCCAGAAACTAGCAGAACTAAAACGACAGACTATACCTTTGAAGAAAAAATTAGAGTCCTATTTAGATTTAATGCCGGTAATTATTCTTTCTTTTTTTTTATTTATTTCCCACAGCATTCTGTAAAGGTACTAAATGATCGTGAAAATTGTTTGTGGATTTAAAGTCAGTTGGGGAATCTCAGTGTTGGATGTATGCTATTTCCTCTGTAACATTTCTTGCTTTCTGATTGTAGTCCCTTGGAGTCTGAATTGAGGCAGTATAACCTTCCCTTCTTTTGTTTTCCTTTAAAAGAATCCATCTCTTGCTCAAGTGAAAATTGAAGAAGCAAAGCGAGAATTAGTAAGTAGTTCCAATTTTCTGTTTTTCAGATTTTTGTAAAAGAAATGAAATAAATGCTGAGATAGCTAAGCCCCTCCAGCTTCTGTGCTTCCTCCTCAGAGGCATACCACAGTCCCAGCGTTGCTGTGTGCCATTTCTATGGATCTTTTAGTGCTTTCTGGGCATGTGTGTATTTGTTTTTTTTTCCATTAAAAAATACACAGTGGTACTTTATATATCTTTTAATATTTTACTTAGATTTCCCTAGTGGAAAAGAAAGGTTGACAAATGCAGAATATTCTATGCAAAGATAATTAGCAAGGGCATAAGAGCTGGAAAAATGGAGGACTTTTCCAAACTGTGACAAGTGATGAGGTCCAACTGCTTGAGGGTTCGTGCTGTAAGACAGGGTGGAGAACCGACTTCAGATGTAAAGGGCACTAAACATAACAAGGGTTGGACTTGGAGGCTATAGGGCACTACCTGAAAGTTGCTTGAAAAGTCTGTTGATCTTTTTTTTTTTTTTTTTTTAAGATTTATTTGTCTGAAAGGCATATTTAGACAGAGAAGGAGAGATAGAGAACTCCCATCAGCTGGTTCACTTCTCAGCTGGCTGCAATGGCCAGGTTGGGGAGCCAGGGGCTTCATCGGGGTCTCCCACAAGCACTTGGGCCATCTCCTGCCGCTTTCCCAGGCACATTGGCTGGGAGCTGGACTGGAAATGGAGCAACAGGGACTTGAACCGGCACCTGTATGGGATGCTGGCGTCATAGGTAATGACTTAACCCATTACACCACAAAACCAGTCCCAAGTCTAGATTTTTAGGCTCAAGAGAAATGTGATCAAAGCTACACACTTTTAAAAAATTTGTTTATTTGAAAGGTGGAGTGACGGAGAGCCTTCCATCTGCTGATTCACTCCCCAAATTCCCACAACAGATAGGGCTGGGCCAGACTAAAGCCAAAACAAAGAACTCTACTCCAGGTCTCCCACATGCATGTCAGGAACTCAGACATTTGGACCATCATCTGCTGCTTTTCAGGTGCATTAGGAAAGAGCTGGATAGGAAGCAGAGGGACTCAATCCCAGGCACTTGATATGGGATGTAGGCCTCCCCAGCAGTGTGTTAACCTGCTAAGTTATACTTTTTAATCAGGCCTGTGCTTTAGGATGATTTTTCTGTGACCAGTATATAGGATGGGTAAGAGGAGCAAGAAAAAAAACTGTAGAAACAATTTGGCCTGCTTTGCAGATGTGAAGTAGTGAGGACAACAGCAGTGAGAAGTACATTGCTTTAGGATTAAAAATCAGAATCATCTATTCGTGTATCATTACACTAATTCATCATCTCAAGGCTGTCCCCCTCAGATGTTTATTAGAATCAGTGAAGGAACTGAAGACTTGGGTGAGGAGACAGATTGGAAGGCAAAGGGGACAAAGGGGAAGTATAAATCAAGGGAACGTCTAATGTCTAAAACCATATTTGATATCTATAGTGGTAGTGCAAGGTGTTTCTGTTTTAATGTTTTTCTTTTTGCTTCCCTTATTTTAAATAACAGTGGAAGTTACAGCATCTGTCTTATGACTTGTTTATGGTATTTATGTATTTCTTCTTTTAGGATGCCATTGAAGCTGAACTTACAAAGAAAGTAGACATGATGGAACTGTGACCAGAGCCAAATAAACATCCTTTTCCCTAACAAAGTACATTGAGTAGAACTTCAAAGGACCTTTTTTTTTTTTTTGCTCTTGGCATTCCTTAAAAAGATAATTTCTATGTTCTTAGATGAGATGATAATGTCAATATTGATAGAATGATGGTTTCTGGCTGTGTATTGTATTTTTGTGCTCCAATACAGTTTTCATATTAAAAAGCATTTCTCTCACTTGCTTCCTATATGGCCAGTGATTAAGAATCCTTTAGTAGCTCTATGATGTTGACATTATGATACTTGCAGGCATGTACTCATCAGGTCAGCTAAAGAGAAGGGAGAAGATTCTGCATCTCTAGTTCTGTTTTTCCCGCTCTTCTTCTCCAGGGGTTTCCTGTTCTTTCCAGTCAGCTCATCTGCCTATTTCCAAATGTTAATATATGCAGGAATTAGTTTTTGAAAAGCATGACCTTTCAAATCAATAGTAAGAAGACAAGAGCTCAGCAGCGTGGTGCTGGAGCCGTGCTGCACACCTGAGGTCAGGATAATCCAAAAGATCAAAGATTGAATTTTTTTAGTATAAAAAAGGACCTCAACGAAATCATAGGGGAGTTTTAATATTCCCATTTTTAAATAATTATAGAGTCAGAAGCATGACCAATATATAGGAACCATAAATTAAGTGATTGAAGTTTTTGAAGATTTGGAAACATTAAAAATTCTTCATAACAAAATCATAGGTAAAAGGGTGTAACACATGTATGGGAGGTAAGGAAGAGATTTTTATACTATGTAGCTTTTTCATGGTTAAAGTTTTATAGCATACAATTAAAAAACTTTTTTAAAGATTATCTAAATAACTTTGAAATGTCCCTTATTCTCTCCTTTTCTTTGCTATCAGCCAAAAAGAACATTTGTGTTTTAGAAACTGTCGTATGTCCTTTAGCCATTTTTGTATTAACTTCTGGTCTTTTTCTTTTTTTTTTTCTTTTTTAAATTTATATATTTATTTGAAAGTCAGAGTTACACAGAGAGAGGAGAGGCAGAGAGAGAGAGAGAGAGGCCTTCTATCCGGTGGTTCACTCGCCAAGTGGCTGCAATGGCCAGAGCTGTGCGAATCTGAAGCCAGGAGCCAGGAGTTTCTTCCAGGTCTCCCACGTGGGTGCAGGGGCCCAAGGACTTGGGCCATCTTCTGTGGCTTCCCCAGGCCATAGCAGAGAGCTGGATCGGAACAGGAGCAGCCAGGTCTCGAACTGGTGCCCTTATGGGATGCCGGAGCTTCAGGCCAGGGCGTTAACCCGCTGCGCCACAGCGCCGGCCCCTGGTCTTTTTCTTAACAATTTTTAGGAGGTCCTTATATATTGACTAACCCAATCTTCTGTGATTTTTGAGTTTTAAATGTTTTCCCAAGTTTTTCATTTGATGTAATTCAGTGCTTTTGGTAAAGCAGTTTGGTTGATTCATTGTGGAAATGACCACAATAATTCTCAACCTTTGTGCTTACCCCTTTGTAATACAACTTTTTTTTAAAAGATTTATTTATTTTTTATTTTTTTATTTTTTGACAGGCAGAGAGGACAGTGGGAGACAGAGACAGAGAGAAAGGTCTTCCTTTGCCGTTGGTTCATCCTCCAATGGCCGCCACGGCCGGCGTGCTACGGCCAGCACACCACGCTGATCGGATGGCAGGAGCCAGGTACTTATCCTGGTCTCCCATGGGGTGCAGGGCCCAAGCACTTGGGCCATCCTCCACTGCACTCCCTGGCCACAGCAGCAGAGAGCTGGCCTGGAAGAGGAGCAACCGGGACAGAATCCGGCACCCCAACCGGGACTAGAACCCGGTGTGCTGGCGCCGCTAGGCGGAGGATTAGCCTAGTGAGCCGCGGCGCCGGCCAAGATTTATTTATTTATTTGAGAGTCAGAGTTACATAGAAAGAGAAGGAGAGGCAGAGAGAGAGAGAGAGAGAGAGAGATCTTCCATCCGCTGGTTCACTCCCCAACTGGCCTCAACAAGCAGAGCTGCACTGGTCCAAAGCCAGGAGTCAGGAGCTTCTTTCAGGCCTCCCATGCAGGTACAGGGGCCCAAGGACTTGGGCCATCTTCCACTGCTTTTCTAAGCCATAGCAGAGAGCTGGATCGAAAGTGGAGCAGCCCATATGGGATGCAGACACTGCAGGCAGTGGCTTTACCCGCTACGCCCCAGTGCCAGCCCCTGTAATACAACTTTACCACTTCTCCCATCAAGAGGCAGCATCTAAACAGCAAGACTTCAAAAAGTTTGTGAAAGATAGAATTTAAAGCCAAGTTTATTTTGGTACAAAAAAATTGAAATCCATGCAACTTTTTCACAATACATGTTTTTCCATAAAGTTTTGAAGACTTCTCATGTCCACAGATTGTCTGGTTAGCCCTAAGACTTGTTTTGGGCAGTGGGATAACAGCAAACCTGACAAAAGCAATGTAATAAAAACCGATCGTTGGGCATTGGAGCTTACCCTCTCTTTGCTATTTGGAATTCAGAGACCACCTTGTAAAGAAGCCTGGACAAGTCCATTTCAGGATGAGAAACTACACAGAGCAGAGACAGGTAATTCCATCTTAGCCCTGCTTCCAGCCCTCAAGTCCAGAGTGGCTTGCAATCACCATGTGAAGGAGGGCTTAGACTATTTGGCCCCTCGTGAGCCACCAGGAGACTTCAGAGATCAACTCCCCGGGTCCACCAGAAACTCAACTGATTTAGAATAGTAATTACATTTGTAAAATCCCTTATGCAGCAGCACCTGCATAGTGCATGACTGAGTAACTGGGAGAATGTGTATTTGTGCCGTGAAATATCTACTGGTGGATCTGAGGAGAAGTGAAGATGGCGGAGTGAGGCATGCCATGGCCTGCTGGCCTCTGAGCCGGGGACGCACAGCCCCCTGGGAGGCCAAGTATAGCAGTTGGGCCATGCAGGTTCTTTATCACAGGAAGAACATTTCTCTTGACATTTAGGTGCTTTTTATTCATCTCAAAAACAAGATTCTGAACTCAGAATTTGGCAGATAAATCTGTGTTGACTCCTAGAGTGGGTAGTCCAACTTCCTTTATCCAGTCACTTTCCCTGTTCTTGGAATGGGGATATTTCTTCTCTGCACATTACTTTCATGATTTGGTATGGAAAAGACTGCTTTTCTTCTGTTCCATCTCTTAGATTCAACAGAGAATCCCGTGGCATGCAGCTGTCCTGCTGACTTCCCCAGAAAGAAAGAAGCAACTGATATAAATCTTCTGCTGCAGTTTGCCTAATAAAGAAATTATTTTACACACTGAAGGCTGATGTTTAATTTGAAACAGGTGCTTAAGTGATGGTACTTGCCAGTCTACCTTTTGTTCCAAACAAGAAGACCAAATGCAAGTGTGGGTGACTACAGGGCTTTTAAAATTGTCTTCCAGATTCAGCCACTACTCTGATAAGCACAGTTAAGACTGCAGCAGTATATTCCAAATCTACATTCTAATTTGAAATGAAAAGAGATGCTAGAAGTGTCATGTATTTATATATTTGACATCCTGTGACATATTTCCTGGACAAGATCAAAGGTCCAGGTTTGCTGTTGGGGAAGTGTAAAGATGGGATTTCAAGGTTCATTTTATATGTGAATAAGCCATCACAATTTCTTTTCAAATATACATTTTTACATGTGTAAATCCAATTTTTGGGTAAAAAGAAGGGTTTTTCTCCTAGAGAAGAAAGTTGTTGACTTCTTTCTCAGAAGTCTTGACAGTTGATTTTTTAAAATGTGTTTTCATTTTTCTAAGGAAGGACCAGACTGCGCAGTGGCTAACCCTGTGAACGAATTCTTGGATTTGGTTGAAAGGATGCTGAAAGCAAGAGTTTTGTGTCAGTGATGGAACCCTATTCACCACCCTAGATGGGAGACTGCTGTGTTATAAATTTCATCATGAGACCGTGTTGCTATGGCTAGAAGAAAAATGGCATAAATGGTTTTTCAGTTCAGAAGATATGATGAACCTTATCATATAACCTGCCTCCAACTTTGGACATAGAGGAATGAAAAAATGAAAAAAAATTCCATATAATTCCTCTCTCCTAAGAAAAACAAAGATATATAGCTCCATCTGACATGGCATTTTATATTATACCCTGCATTTTTTATAAAAGCATAGATGACTCTTTAAAAAAAAAAAAAAAAGGAAAAATATCTACTGCCCCCTTCCCGCTTTCCAGATCTCGAGTCTCCCTTGAGGCCCACCCTAACTGGAAGCATACTAGAAAGGCAAACCTGTAGACTGTAATTGACTTTATCCAAGTTGACATATCACAAAGCCATCCCAAACAGTCTTAACTGCTTAATTCCAAGCAGAGCATGTACAAATCACATACAAAGAAAAACAAAATCTCAAAAGCAGAGGGAAAAAAATGCATAGTATAGCTGACAGTGAATTCTTAATAGTTACAATAAGAGCAAAGCCAGCAGAATAATATCTTTAATGTTCAAAAAGAAAAAAATCTATCACCCTAGAAATCTGTATCAAGGAAAAGTATCATTCAAGAATGCAAATGAGGGGTGGGTGTTGGCACAGCAGGTTTAACCACTGCTTAGGATGCACACATGCCACATTCCTGGGTTTGAGTTCTGCCTCAGCTTCCAATTCAACTTCCTAGGAAGCAGCAGATGATGGCTCAAGTATTTGGGTCTGTGCCACCCACATGGTGAAGCGCCTTACTTTGGCCTAGCCCACCTCTGGTCATTGCAGCCATTTGGAGAATGGACCAGCAAGTGGAAGATTCTCTGTCTCCTTCTGTCTCTTGTAATTACCTTTAAATAAATAAATCTTAAAAAATAAAAAAGCACAAATAGAAGAAGAGTAAGTGGAAATGGTCTAGCATGAGTAAGTATATTTTGATAACAAATATGTTGTTTTTGCATGTATGGAATAAGCATACAATTTGAAATTCATAGAGCAGGAATGGGGTGTCATTTTTCTTACTTAACACCATATAAAAAAACTAACTGGAAATGGATCAAAGGCCTATATTAAAAAGCTAGAACTACAAAACCTTTGGAACAAAAGGGGCAAGTCTTCATGACCTTCAAATGATATGACATCAGAAGAACAAGCAACCAAAGGAAAAAAATAGATAAGTTGAACCTCATATAAATTAAAATCTTTGTGCTACAAAGGGCACCATCAAGAAAGTGACTAGACAACTCACAGAATAAAGGAAA